TCTCTATCCATTCGTTTGTTGATGGGCATTTAGGTTCTTTCCAACTCCTTGTTATTGTGAACAAAGCTGTGATAAACATGGGTGTGCAGTGAGTTTGAGTTTTGAGGGTTTTATTACAACCACAACCCTTCATCGAAACCACATGTGCCATAGTGTTATTTTTAAATCTCCTAGAGAAGAATCTGCCATGGTTTTCCCCATAATAAATGGCATTAATTCTCTGTGGTTGAGAGAACGGTCCCCCTTTCTTCATCGAAAACAGCCTGTCTACCTGGGCACTTGTCCCCACAGGTTTATTCCCAGAACTCCCTTGGCAACTATTGTCCCTAAGTTTGTGTACTTTATTGAAAATGTTCTCTCAAAGTGAACAGTCCCTCATACCCACGACATCTAGTCAGTCTTCACTCTTTTCCATTTTTAAAATAATTTATTTTTATTGTTGAAAATATACATAGAATATATGCCAATTCCACAATTGCTACATGTACAATTTAGTGAAATTCATTACATTCAAGTCATTCACCATTTTCGCACTCTTCTGAATTGTTCATTCTCCATTAGCAAACTCAGAGCCCTCAAGTTTTCCATCTAATCTTTTGAGTTGCTATTGTCAATTAAATCTCTTGTAGACAACATATTGATGGATTTTGGCTTTTTATCCAAACTGCTACTCTTTTTCTCTTCATATAGTTATTATAAAGCATACAGTGTTCAAGACAGACATTCTTTACTAATTAAGCTACACTGGTGGTTAGAGGAAGACCTTCAACCACATGAATTGACACAGTGACTGCAGCAATGGGCTCAGGTATGTCATAAATTGTGAGGACGGTGCAGGATAGGACAGGATTCAGATCTGGTGTTCCGATCACTACAAGTATTACTCTATTCGATGGCACTTAGCAAGAAATAACAACAACAGATGTTTTGAGGAGGTAACCTGCTCCTGTTAAGTTTTATAGTTTCAGAAAACCAAACCTCAGAGACTGGCTCCACAGGAATGGGTGTGTTTTATTGTCTCATTTGAAGGAGAATTTAAGGGGTAATTTTAGTTTCAAGATTATCTTAGGACAGAATGGATTCAATCATTCTCAATGACTCCAGGAAAGTCTGCATTCCAGATTTTCTCAATTTGTATAGACCCTAGAGTTTCCTCAATTATTTGACCTTAGAGTTCCTGGTATTGCAATGGTATTGTGATTCCTTAGGCTGCTATTAAAAGGTCATCCATTCAAACTCACCAGCTCTCCTCCGCAGGAGGACAATATGGCAGTCAATGTATGTTAAAAGTTACAGTCTTGAAAACCCCATGGGGCAGTTCTATTCTTAGAGGCTTGCTATGAATTAGAATCAACAAAAATCACGGAATTTTGTTTGGTCTATTTGACCTCAATCCCATGAATCTTCTCCTGGTTTCTGTCACAGACGTTTTTCTGGTTCTCCTTGTAATTTTCTGATCAGCCCATCATTTCTCACGTAAATATACAACAACAAACCTTTACTCACACACCCTATCTCCTCTGCTTTCCTTCTGCAACCTAGTTTCTCCTCCCTCAAAAATACCATCACATTTTGAACCACTATACAGTAATAAGTCAATGTTAATACAAACTTTCCCACATGATAAAAGTGTTTAGGATTCTAAATGTTTGTTTTAGAATCAGCTACAGTTAAATTTCCACTTAGCACTTTTTAACTCTCTCATACAAATTTTTGTGATTTATCTTTACTGGTTCCTTCTCTGAACACTCCTGAGTGGTAGAAACACTTGATCATTCAGCTCCTAGTCAAAAAGCAAGTGGTTCTAATCCACCCAGAGGTTTCTCAGAAGAAAAGATCTGGATATTCACTTCTGAAAGAACCTTTGAAAGCCCTATGTAACACACTGTGAAGCACATGGTTTTGCAATGAGCTGGAATGTAATAACTGAAAGCTATGATCATCTTATTCTTGATTTACAACGCCCACTGTACTTTGTCCCGTCTGACATACCTTGGACATGTTGCAAGGAGGGACTAGTCCTTGGAGACTTCATGCTTGGAAGGGTGGAGGGACAGTGCAGGAAGGGAAGACCCTCAATGAAATGGATTGACTCAGTGACTGGAGTAATAGGGGTAGGTGTGTTGGTGACTGTGATGTTGACTCATGATGGAGCAGGGTTCACAGCTGCTGTACATAGGGTCAGGTTCAGCCTTGTCACACATCCTTTGGTGTTCTGGGAGCCTTGCTCAGAACAGGCCTGGAGCCCTCAGATGGTGAATCTATTCAAACAACTAGTGAAGCAAGAGTCTGGGATCACTCTGGAGACAAAAGGCATACCTGAGGATAGAGGAAATGGGTAAAGAATTGACACAGGAAAAGAGAACAGAAGTTTGGGTGTACAGAGCAAGTGTAAGGATTCAAAGCTAAGTTGGGAGGATTAGAGATTAGGTAACTACAGGCTTCTGACGTGAAATTTCTTTAGGCCTTGACATCCCTGAATGCCCCAATCCTCAGTATTAAGGAGTCCCTGCTCCTGGGAGTCTTTAGCTGTGGGACCACCTGTACAGGTTAGGCTAACTTGATCCAAGCAGGGCTCTAGTGGTGCATCAAGGACCCAGGCACCATAGGAGTTAACCACACAGATGCTCACCAAAAATGTTGGCAATGGGAACCCACCAGTGGCTCCATGAGAAAATGATGAGGCAGTTTGCTTCTGTAAAGATTGAAGCTTTAGAAGCCCAAGGAGGGCTGTTCTGCTCTGTTCTGAACGCTTGTTATAAGTCAGATCCACTCAACAGCAACAAATTTGGGGCTGTTGCATCACTTGTCTACTCCTGACCAACAGTGGAGCAGACACACAGTCTCTGGGAAGGAAGGTGATAGAGGTGGAACAGAGAGAGAGTGGGCAAGGGAGATGGAAGGTTGAACAACAAAATCCTTGAAAAAGCAAGGAATCCGAGGTGTGAGTCTATCCCCTACCCCAGGGACAACATTCTCATTCCTCTCTATCACTTGAAATTTCATTAATTAGAGATTCATTTAACTGTCAAATATCAATGACAGAGGTAAAGAAAATGGTTATTCACAACTTGAGGGGGTTGTTGTTGTTATTGGGTGCCATCAAGTTGAGTATGACCCATAGAGACTCTATAAACAACAGATCTGAACCCTGTCTTATCCAATGCCATCCTCACAATCTCCAATGCCCTCAAGCCCATTGCTGCAGTCACTGAGTCAATCCATCTGGTTGAGGGTCTTCCTCTCCTTTATCATCCTTACACCTTCCCAAGCATGATGCCCCTCTACAAGGAATAACCTCTCCCAGCAACATGCCCAAAGTATGTGAGATGAAGCTTTATTATCTTTGCCTCCAAAATGCACTGATTGCACCTTCTCCAAGACATATCTGTTTGTAAAAAAAGAAAAGAAAAGAAAAGAAAAACTATATCTGTCTGTCATTTTGGTAGTCCATGTGATATTCAGCACATTTCTCCATCACCACTGTTCAAAGGCATAAATTCTGTCATCCTTATTCATTATTCAGATGCATAGCAAACTGAATCAAGCATCCTGAATCTTAGTCCTCAAAATGACATCCTGCTTCTCAATAATTTAAAGAGGTCCTGACTACATAGATTTTTTTTTCCCCAGTACAATATGTTTCCTAATCTTCTGACTGCTAGTATCAAGTGTATTAATTGTGGATCCAAATAAGACGAAGTCATTAACAGTCTCAATCATCAATGGTGATGTTGCCTATTGGTCCAGTGGCTAGGATTTGTGTTTTCTTAATGTTGAGATGCAATCCATACTGAAGGCTGCAGTAAATGAAACAAATCAGACCACATCCCTAACTCTAAATTTAGCTGCAATAAAGGACTGGGTGATTTGTTTGTGGGAATAAGAGAGATCACTTTATGGGGCACTTCTGGTTACAGTAAGTGAGGTGCCTGCAGGGGAGGATGGGGCCTAAGTACAGGGATTACTGAGGACAGTGGTCTGCTGGGGATGAAGAAGAGTTTAGAAAGGAAGGTAGGGTGGCATCTGAGATGATACCCAGAATAGCTCCATGCTCTGCTCCTCCTCAAAACCAATTGCTACTGTCCTTCACTCTCACATCCCATCCCTTCTCCACAGTACCAGGCTGGTCTTGGGCAGAGATTCCAGCAGAGGAAGCCTTAGCTGGATCCACAAGGGACTCACAGGAGCCTGGAAATGCTTTTCTGGGCAGGCCAAGAAGTGAAAGCACCAGCAATCAGATGGGTCTGTGAGGCAAGGGGAGACTGATTTAATAAAGGAAGGAAGGAAGGAAGGAAGGAAGGAAGGAAGGAAGGGAGGGAGGGAAGGAGGGAGAAAAGGAGGGAGGGAGGAAAGGCAGAAGTACTTTATTTCATGTGTGGAATGAGCACAAATTTAGAGCAGTCCTCAGAGAAAAGAGACTTCGACTTGTTCAATTCCACAGTACTGGCATGGATGGGAAGGGATATGCAATATTTACTGAATAACTGTGAAAATGGAGGAACAGAAGAATGTCCTCTAACACTGCAAACTGCAGGTTAACATTGCTTATCAGATATCTGAACTTTTGCCCTTTCTGATAGGCACTTATCTAATTGTGCTGGTTCACATTAAAAAAAAAAAAGTCCTAAATATGGTCACTATGAGTCGCAGGCGACTCAGCTGTACATAGAAACAACAATAATTTGAATCCTAATTTCTTATCTCCTACCTGAAGTGAGACTATGCTTACCCTTCATTTTCTTCTTACCCTCCACAACAGAATCCCAGGCTCCACACGGATCTCAGAACATCTGGAGGCATTTGAGGTTTTGTTTTACTAGGAGGGAACCTCTCATCAACCAGTTCACAGATAGGTCCAAAGAGGACCAGAGAAGAGAGGCATCAGGTGCAACAAAGAACACAGCATGAACTAGGAGCAAGCCTGGGAGGGCAGGAAAGGGCAGCTGGAGGATTCCAGGACTCCTCTGATAGACAGGCCTGCTCAGGGTGGTCCAGGAGCCGCCGCCTTAGCTTAACAAGCAAAGTAGGTTCAGCAGGTCCATGGCTGGCCATGCTCTGTGGTTTTTATCATCCGTTCCCAGGCACAGCCTCGGAGTCCCTAGGAAAACACTGACCAATAAATTAAGTTGAAAAGTATGTAGAAGGCAGGGAATATCAACCTAGAGTATTTGTCAATGGCATGAGTGTTCTGGAATATGCGGAGACTAATCTGGCCACTGAGAAGCCCCTTCTTGCGGGAGGAGTTGGACTCATTGCTCAGGGCCAGGTGGACCACTATTTTCTCTTGCCTTTCTTCTTCTGTCAGAATATGGCTTCTCGGATAGCCCGCCAGACTGTTGGCTTCAGATTCACTGTAGCTTCCATCCAGCATCATGGTTCTTGAGTGAAGCATTCCACACATGCTTGGGAACTATGAGAGACAATACCAAGAGAGGCATCAGGCAGGGTCAGGTCTGCTTTGGGGCAAGGTAGGTGGTCTGGCTGCAGCACGGAGTCCTACCGCTCTCAGAACCACAGAGCAGCAGAGCTGAAAGCACCTTCAGACACCACTCAACCCCACCATTCTCTCCCTGGGCTGCGTATTAGAATTACACAAAGGTTTGTTTAACTGGTCATCTTCAGATCATTTAAAGCTCTACAAGTGAATCTAATATGCAACCAGGGTTGTGGACCACTTACCAAGTGCAAACTCCTCCAATGACAGAGGCAAAACCAAAAAGATCCAGAGAGGCTACACAAGTCATCTGAGATCACCTAGCTAGGAGATGTCAGAACCAGAATTTAGGAAACTGCATATTCTAATTAAGAATGTGGAACTGCACCACCTCTGTGTATATGAATGGGGAAGAGGGTGAATGGCTTGATATAGTCATCCTAATACTGAGTCATATTCTTTTCATTCATGCACAAAGGAGTGGAGTCCCTCAACTGGAAATGGAATGTGTGGGTTTAAAGCCCTGATCTGATACTGTCACAATGAATTTTATTTAATGATGCAGGGTCATGGGTAACAAATGTGTGTTTAAATGGACAGAGAGTGCACTCAAAAACAGCAAAATGTTAACACTGTGGGATCTGGGTGGGGGTATAGGGATGATTATTATTTTATTCTTTCAACTGTGTCTGCCCATTTGGAAGTGTTTCTAACAAGCTGGAGGGGAGGCGGTGACTTCCCTTGGCTTCTCCCCACAATTTGAGTCAGCAGAGTGGCCTTCCTGCTGGCTCCTGACTGCTCTTGGCTGAAGACGCGAGGTCAGCTGGATACAGCTGCTGGCCATAGGCTCATTCTTCTCATCCTGCTGGTTTTAATATGTGTCTGACCTGGCTTTTGGCCCTCTAATATATCCATCTTCCACCTGGGAAACTAAAGTAACAATAATCCTCAACTTGTTCCCTTTGTAAAGGTTCTTGAAGTAGTTACATCAATTCTGTGAAGATTTAGATGCAAACTTAGATGAATGAGTTTATGCAAAATAATAATTATCAGAATATTCTTATACATAAAAAATTTTTTTGTTGTTATCATTTTAATCTGATTTCAATTACTTCATTATAATGCTTATTTATCTTTCCATCAGTAACAGTAACTAACTCATTTATATATGCTTATCAAGGGAGCTCTGGTGGCCTAATGGGTAAGGAGTTTTGCTACTAACTCAAAGATTAGTAGTTCAAATCCAACAGTTGCTTCAAAGGAGAAAGACGGATTATGTCCTCTAGTGTGATTTACAGTCTCTGAAAACCCACTGGAAGGTCAACTATGAGTCAGATCTGATTCAATGGCAATGACTTTGAGTTTAACTTTTGAGAACAGACTCAGAAGTTTTGGGAGATGAAAAACTGGTAAAAGGGCATCTAGCCATCTACCTAACTCCTTACAATTAGGGTTAATAAAGTCCAATTTTGATAAAATGAAAATATAATTATTGGGGCCTATTTTTTTAGCAGATCTTTGCTTCTTTTTCTTACTCTAAACTAAAAGCTTTTCTGGTAAAATGAAAAGGAAAAAAAAAAATCTTTCCTCTAAGATTCTGAGCTAGAGCCAGGAAATGCCAGAAAGTACTGTTTTCTACATCAGCGTGTTTCTCGGGATGATTTAGTAGCTCTTGATACACTGGATGAGGTCTGAGTAATCAGCCCAAAGTTCAGAGCACACAGAAGGGAGAGAGACCCTGTACACATCCCAAATTTACTGTTATATTTCGCTGAGTCAGAACCAACTCAGAGCTAACTGTCCAGCGGGTTTTCAGAGGGAGTAAACTACAGGAGAAAAGATGACTCCTTTCTCTTGTGAAAGAGCTGGTAGATTCAAACCACATACCTTTGGGTTGAGAGCACAACTTCTAATCACTAAGCTACCAGCTCTCCCTGGTCCCCTATAAATCAAAGCAGGGCTAATTTTACTCTTAATGTCATCAGGCTCAGTGAGCATCTGAACCCCTAGACAGCCTATGCCTGACATCCCCAGACATTATGAATCAATAGGTCTGAAGTTCCAGACCTGGAATCTTTGTTTTTACAAATCCAAGAAGTAGCTCCGAGCAGGTGATCCAGGACTCCCACTTTGGGAAATGACTCTTGACTGGAGGCCATTTTTTTAAAAAAATATACAATCTTATGTATTCTGTTGTTTCATGTGCCCTTGAGTCGACTATGACTCATAACAAGCCTATGAACAAAAGCTCTGAACTTTGCCCTATTCTGAACCAACCTCATCATCTCTGACACACCTGACCCCATTGCCACAGTCACTGTGTCAATCCATTCCATTTACAGTCTTCGTCTCCTGTGCTAACCCTCTACCTTTCTAAGTATGATGTCTTTCTGCAAGGTCTGGTCCCTCCTGGCCCAAAGCATGTGAGACAGAATTCAATAATCCCTACAATAGCGACACTGATTAGACACTTCTCACTTTTCCTTTCTGATTTGGGTTTGTTGGTTTGTTTATTTTTCCTTCTTCTCACTTAACTCTCTTTTCTCTCTTTTTCTGGAGAAAGAGTGATTGTGGCTGCAATTGGAGGAGTTGAGTCACCTGGACCCTTCTCCATGAGTTTAGCTGGGTCCAGCCAGGGTGGATTTTAGGTCACAGACTTGTAATGATGAAGAAAACTGGCAACTCACCTCCTTCTGTTAGCAGCTCCCCTTAAAGAGGTAAGTGGGCCCAGGATCCCTCCCAGCTTCCTGTCTCACATTCTCTTCTAGTTCTTTGAGTATATCGAGCACTTAGTGAAGTTTGAAAAAGGTAGAAAAACTTAGTGAAGTTTGAAAAAGGTGAGAAAGTGCCTAAAGAAATACAAAAGTGTGCCCTCTTCATGAGAGGAAGGCTCAATATGGTAAAAATTACAATCCTACCAAAAGCAATCTACATGTTCAATGTAATCCCAATCCAGATACCAAATTCATTTTTCAAGGAGATTGAGAGGGAAATTATCAAATTTATTTGGAGAGACAAGAGACCCCACTTCTGAGAAACAAAAATGAGGTTGGAGACATAGTACTCCCTGACCTCAAAACCTACTACACAGCAGTAGTAACTAAAAGAGCATGGTACTGGTACAATGACAGGCACATAGACCAATGGAACACAATTGAGAACCCAGAAATAGAGCTATCTGTGGTCAACTGATATTCGACAAGGAAATCAAAGCTATCAAATGGGGAAATGATAATCTCTTCAACAAAGAGTGCCGGCAAAACTGAACTGCTACCTACAGAAAGCTGAAAGAGGATCCACATCTCACACTATACACAAAAATCAACTCAAGATGGATCAGAGACCTGGGAGTAAAGCCCAAAACCATAACATTCATAAAATGATGATTTATTTCACTCCTTCATTTACTCAGAAGAGAGTGAGGCCCAGGGAAGGATAGTGATTTTCCTAGACACACAGCAAATTAGAAACAACCAGGAGGAGAGCCTTCCATTCTTCTGAATTGTTCCTCTTCATGAACATACATTCATTGGTTCCTAAGGTCCTTATTTTTTTAAATGACTGTTGTCAATTTGATCTCATACATATTGTTTTCTGTTGTTGCTGTGATTAGAATGGAAGTTTATGGGGCAAGCTAAATATTTGTCTCTTGTGATTGACATTTCACTCAGCATAATGTCCTCTAGATTCATCCAGAATCTGCTGTTTCTCAAATTCCGTTTTATTTTTTAGTATTGCATAATATCCCATTGTGTGAATGTACCAGTTTCTTGTTCTTTTTGCCAATTATTGGGCACTTGAGTTGTTTCCATCTTATATAACTAGTTCTCAAAAAAAGCATAATGTGTGAGGTACACAGTTGTTTACTGCTTAAGCTATTGCTTCAGTTATGGAGCCCTGGTGGCACAGTGATTAAAATGCACGGTTGCTAACCAGTCAGTGTTGTAAACCCACAGTGGGAGAAGGATAGTGTGGTTGCCGTCCATAAATATTTATAACTCTAGAAACTCAGTGAAGCTGTTCTTACTCAGGACTGTCATAATTACAGTTTACAAAAGTGAAGCTATTGAGTAATACCATGTAGCATCAATTAGATGTACATTCTTCATTCCTGAGATCTTTCTTGTAGCTTTTTCTTTCTCTTCATTACATCGTATATATTGATTATAGTGTATACTTTATTAGATCATGCATATATTGTATCATTTTTTTTAATTTTTATTTTATGTGTGTATGCCATCAAATCGGTATATTGTATAAATTCTTATAGCGGTACTAGAAATAAAAATTAGGGATTTTTAAACTTGAAAAAAAGAAAACCAATCTTCTCATAAACTTTCCCTCAAATCAAAGCAAGAAAAAAAAAAGTTAATTAACAAGAAAATCTAGATAGCTCCTAAGAACTCAATCCACTCCCACCTCTGTCAATCCCTCTTTCCTCAATCTTTACAATCAAATTGAATGTCCCCACCCAGATCCTCTTATTCATAAAACATCTCTATTTCCCTCACATTCCAGGCCTATCAGTAAGACCTACCTGCTCTGCCTTCCTGCAATCTAACCACTTCTCTGTACGCCCTCCTAACCACTAATCTGAGGGAGCTCTGGTGGCCTAGTAGTTAGAAGCTGTGCTTCAATCTCAAAGGCACATTGTTTGAATCTACCAGTTGCTTCATGGCAAACTCCTCCTGTGGGATTTACTGACTGAAAACTCACTGGAGGATCAGTTATGAATTGGTTCTGACTCAACTGTAGGTTCTCCAAAGAGATGTGTTGAGCAAACTAGGTGGATTTGGGAATTGAGGAACTGTGAAAGCAGCATGCTGTTGGCTGCTCACATGAATGCTTACATTCCAGTAACTTATTGGGAGGAGCTGGATAAAGGAAAGATAAAACAAATGGTACCAGAGTCCTCTCTGGAGGTAATGGAATGATTGGGTCTGAGCTGTTAGAAGCTGGTCCTTTGCTACTGCTCTTGCTGCTGCTGCTGCTGTCATAGGTGCCGTTGAGTCAACTATCGCTCTTAGCAACCCTATGAACAAGAGAGCTGAGCGGTGCCTTATTCTGTGTCATCCTCATAATCCCCGATACGCTCCAGCCTTTCGTTACAGTTACTGAGTTAATTCACCTTACTGAGGGTCTTCCTCTCTCTTTCTTATTCTCTACCTTTCCCAATATGACGTCTTTATCAAGGACTGGCATTTCATGACAACACACCCAGAGGTGTGTGAGTTGAAGTTTCACTATCTCTACCTCTAAGGAGCACTGTGGTTGTACGTCCTCCAAGACAGACCTGTTTATTTTTTGGCGGTCTGTGTTATTATATTCAGTACTTTTCTTCAAAACCGCAATTCAAAAGCAGCTACTCCTCTTCTATCAATCGTATTCATTGTCCAACTTTCAGATACTAGGAAAGGTGGAAGGTCAGAGAAAGACCCCCACCAAGCTGAACTGACTCAGTGACTTGAACAATTAATTTGAGCACCTCAGAGATCATGAAGGCAGGATCAGTGAGAAGTCCTGGCTTATCGTTTAAAAACAAATGAGTAACAACAGAAAAGTAACTTTCAACTCCCCATTTATCTATTCCAACACTAAAGGGAGCAGACTTAAAGACCTGGTGACCTTTTCCTTTATTATTTCCTTGTTATTCTTCAGACTTTAGCATATAATCACTGGTAAATATCAAAACCTATTGCATGGTGACAGGTTAATGAGCTGCCTGAATATAAGTCCTAAACAGTTAAAGGCTTAGGACCCGTATATTTT